GTCAAAATTAGTCAATCAATCTGCCATATTTATTTGATTTATATCCCACCTTTATTGCACCAAAATCAATCAAGCAATCTGTCTTATTTAATTATTTGATTTATATCCCACTTTTATTGCACCATTGGCTATACTCACAAAGGCTGGTAGGAACTGCAGGCCAAAATCAATCAATCAATCAATCAATCAGTCAATCAATCTTATTTATTTATTTGATTTAGATCCCATCTTTCACCCTGCCTACAGAATCCAAGGTGGCCTATGGCATTTAAAAAACAACAACAGGGTATAGCTAAAATATATTTGGACAGAAGTTTTAAAAAAACAATTAAATAGTAGTTCAGTTAAAGACAGAAGATTAAAACAGTATAAAAGCATCCACGGATTTTGGTATCCAGGGCCCACTGTGGAAGAGGGCAGGATAAAATAACCCTGGGCAAGGTGGCTTAGGAGCGTCTTCTCATTCAGATGCCTATGTTTTAAATGGGTTGTGCTTTATTTTCTCTCTTTTCCAGAAGTGGCAGCGCCGGTTCTTCATCCTCTACGAACACGGCCTCCTCCGCTATGCTTTGGATGAGATGGTGAGTGAGAGCATCTTTTCTCCTGAATGACTTCCATTTTGTATGCTCTCTATGGGTTGGCTTAATGGGGGGCTGAGATGGTTTGACTCAGAAGGGTCAGACTGTATAGCATCCTGTACAGTGGCTTCCATGTCTGTGAGATAAGTTGTGTCTTTTGGGGGTGGAGTGGGATGTTTTCACATATTATCTGCATGGTTCGGGGGTCAGGAAATTGCCTGGAAAATGGCACTAAGTTTCAAAAGATGGGGGACTTGTACGGATCTTCAGGGGTGACATAATGGAGTCCTTTGGAAAGTGAGAAGAAAACACAGACTTTCAAGGCAGAGCAAGAGCATATGACAGAATTCCTTCTCAAGGTGTGTTTGGGTATTTTAAACTGGATCTTCTTTTTCCTCACTGAGATATGAGAACATGCTGTTTTTCTGAGGGAATTGGCAAAGGTAACTTATGGACTGAGGAGAAAAATAATGAAGGCCCTCTCATGTTCTCCAGCTCTTCGAGATGTCCTTACAAAGCTTCACACACACACACACACCAAAGTCCTTTCCCTCTTGACCGTTGGTTAATTTTAGTTATTAGGAAAGTGGCCATCTCCTGCTGTTCCCTGAGAACTGGGTGTCTCTGTTGTGAGGCTTGGAGCATGCACACCACACACACACAAACACACAAAACTAGGTCAATGTGGGTATGAGTTTCCTCAGCCATGCTCTTTGCATTGGAAGTGGGGCCTGGGGCGAAGGAAGGGGACCATTCTCCTTCTAGCAGGGAGATATTCTGTCAAATCTGTCATTTTTCCTTCTTTCAGCAAAGTTGCTTTTGTGGGGGCAGTGCATGTGCATATGGCGTATGTGTTGAAAGCTGTCATTCTGTGCCTTGTGCGTTGGAGGGGACACATGCACACTTGCTGGGCGGTGTGAGAAATGTGCTTTATACAGAATCACCCCCATGGTACATCTAACCTCATTCTGTGCAAGTTTGGGGACCGGTTTTGTACCCCAGGGTCCTCTAGGGACTGCGTTAGTGTTTCCGTTGGCCATCCGTATCTACAGTTTCTTTATCCACGGCTTGAAAATATTTTTAAAATGTATAAGTCCCACAAAACAAACCTTGATTTTTGTGGGTTTTTTGGGGCTGTGAGGCCATGTTCTAGAAGAATGTATTCCTGATGTTTTGCCTGCATCTGTGGCTGGCATCTTCAGAGCCCTTCGGAGCCCAGACCTCCGAAGAAGCCAGCCACAGATGCAGGCGAAACATCAGGAACCTATGGATGCTGGCCGTGAAAGCGTTCGACTTCACATTAAACTTTGATTTTGCTATTTTATATAAGGGACACTATTTCACTACACCATTGTATTGAAAGGGATTTTGGTATCCACAGGGGTCCTGGAACCAAGGGCCCACTGTATTTACAAGGCTGCCATAAATAAGAAGAGGCAGTGTTTTGGCCTAATATTGAATGTATCTGTGAAGGCTTTTCGAAATGCCTTCTTCCTTCAGTTTCCCTTTTTGTTTGGAGGGCGGGGAGGGGTCTCCTCCCTAAGACACTGCCTTTTTGGCTCCTTATGAAAACGACCCCTTGGATTTGCAAGAAGGAGCCGCTTTGTGTTACCGCTGGAACTTCATCCAAATCCTCTTAATCATCAAGACTGGAGCGCCGTAAATTTCTCTGTTCCGTTTCCTGGCAACCTGGCAGCTTTTTGCTGGGATAATATTTCCTGAAATGACAATAGGAAGAGAGCTCTGGAAGGGCTGGAAGGAAGGGAACAGAGAAAAAGGAACCTGGGAGACCCCCAGTAAGAGGGCAGGGAGTGAATTGGATAGTGAGGGGAATGGGTCTGTGGCTGGGCAGTTTTGATGCTGGATTGGACACGATCTTGGTCTCCAACTCCACCTCCTCCTCTTCCTGGTGCAATCTTCTTCTTCTTTCCCTTCTCCTCCTCCTTCTGGTGTGGTCTTCTTTTCCTCCTCCTCCTCCTGATGTGGTCTTCTTCTGCTGCTGCAGTCTCCTCCTCCTCCTCCTTTTCTTCCTCCTCCTTCTGGTACAGTCTAGGATCCTATCTCTGTTCTTTCAATGATCCCCTGGTACCAAATTATCTGTGAAAGAAGTAATGCCTGGGAAGGCATCTACTTGGTTAACTGCGATATTCATATGCCTGTATTGTAATGTTGCACTGTTGGGATGCCGAAGTAGGCAATTACAAGGGAAGAAGAGACAGAATAGTGGTAAGGTCTTCAGGACTGGCCACAGGGGTTGTTTTGTTGGCAGTTGGGTATCCTGGTCTTGACCCAGAGGGAATTGTGTTTGCAGAACTAACAGTCCTGGATCAACCCCCAAACTATTACCACACACACACACAAACACACGCTGAGGGAGGGAGAGATTTTCAGTCCCTTGCCTGGAATTTCAAGTGACTCATGCTTGCTCTCAAAGATGACATTACTCTTGACCTCAGGGCTGGCAGTTCTAGAAGGAGATTAATGACCTCTGAAACAGACACCCTGTACTTGGGAAGGGGCTGTGTCAGGATGGACTGGTCTCTCCTGTGTGTGGTTTTCTTGAATATTGCCGGGAGAGGAACCGAAAGACACTTTTATAGCGGAGGCCAGATAATTCCTAGGAGATTGTCCATGGGTCCTTCTGGGTTAGGTGCACAATGTTCCAGAAGAGAGATGCTGTTGTTGGTGGAAAGTTTGGCCAAGGCCATAAGGAGGAGGCCAAATAATTGTTGTGGAACTCTGCACACTTAAACTTGCAGCACTGCACCAAATGCATAGCACAAGTATTTTTTTTTATTTGATTTATATCTCACTTTTATCTCAAATGGGACTCAAAGTAGCTTGCGATATAAATTGAAACAGACTGTCTATAACCATATACTGCATCCAAAGAAGTGGGTTTATATACATGGAAACTCATGCAAAAATAAAAACCAGTTAGTCTTAAAGGTGCTGCCACATTTCTTCTTTTTGTTTTACTCCTCCTTCCCCTTCCTTCCTTCCTCTTTTTTATAAAACCATATAGAGTGCAAAAGATTAAAAATAAACCATGCATCCAGTTAAAACTGTTTTGAAAACATTAACATTAAAACAATTTAAGGACTTAAAATACATATTTCATACTAAAAAACAGCACACCAAATTGCATATTGCTCTGCCTTTGTCATCCAAGGCTCTCTCCTTATTGATCTGGCAAATGAACTCTCTTTTATTTCATCAGGCTTTGTGGAATGGTTTACAATTCCTTCCAATTACAGTAGTAACAATTATGGTTGCTTGTTGCACTCTTTTAAAAGCAACTTATGTTGTTTTATTGTTCATGACTTTCTATTTATGTTAACACAAACAGCACCATAGAATTGATAAAACAATGACACAGGAGTTGAAAAATGCCCATCAGAGAAGCACCAAAGATTGATAAAAGAATGGTATGAGATTCAAAAAATGCTTAAAAAAAGGGTGTGTCCACCTTGCCCTTGAAAAGTAACTTTTAGAGATCAGTAGAAAGTGATTACCTGTTACATGGGTAACTTCATGTCATCCTGTTCTTTTGTTTTTTTAAATGTAACTTTTCTTGTTGTGCAAACAAACAAGCACAAGTTTGTTTCCGTTTGCGGTGTTATCGTCACACTGTGCTGCTGGAAAAGTAGATCTGCAGAAGGGTTTGTCTTATGGCTGTTCTCCTTGTTCTAAAAACATAATTGCAGGAATCTGCAGGACTTGGCCCAGGAGTTTTTGATGGGTCCATCATGGGGTCTCTGGGGAAGGAGTCCAGTGGCAGAGGTCACATCTGTTCCAGAGCTTGAAGTGAGGGGAGATGGTCAGCAGCCGCTAATGAAAACCATTGGCCTCTGGCTCCAAATATGTAT